TTGCATGTAAGCCTTCAGCAGGCGGTGGTGGCCATTCGCTGGGCATTTGCACCGCCTGCATTCGAGCCCGCACCGCACTGATCTCGTTTTCCAACTAGAATCAAAGAAGAGTAATGAGTAATTGCGATTATTCCCTCACCTTTTTGATTTCTTCATCAGTCATAAGTGGCCGATCACTCACACTTTGTGGGACCAAGTCTGCAATAGCCTGGTTTCGTTCCTTTACGACAGCATCGTGCTTTTCAACCTGAATTATTTTCTACAATTATGTAAAACTCAGGGCAAAAGGAGCATTCTCACCAGCACCGCCCTATCCATGGACGCAACCAAATCGTGCATATCTGCCAAAACCTTGTCAGCAGTGTCATTCCAGTTTTTTAGCTGATTCTCAATGATAGCACATTGTCTGCAAATCAGAGATGAGGACCTGTTGTAAAAATTGGGACTAAATAGCAATAGTTCGCGCAAGATGTGACAGCAGCAACTACGCAAAGTCTAATTCGATATCATAAATTGCAAAAACACACTATTCCAAAAACATCTCAGCGTTTAAGAACACGCTGTAAATTGACAGAAAATGAACCTACGTCATATATTCACTAGGTTCCTGTACGGATGAGTTGGGATCCATAAGGAGCGCTTTTGCCGCATTCCATTGTCGCTGTGCCTCTTCTCGAGTTAGCTTATCAAACTCATTCTGCTCTTCTTCTGTCCAGGTATCATTTACGTATGTTATAGAGTCCCAGTCACACGAAAAAGGCCATCCGCAGACCTGCAGTAACCTAATATAGTAGACATATATTTATGACAGAAAGTGCTAGTCGAGAATTGCGTCAAAAGAAAAACTAGGTGAGCTTGAAGGCAGTGTCCGGGCAAAATTTCGAACAAAGTTTCTTTCCGCATACTGGGCTTATCCTTCCCGCTAAGTCCGAAAATGCACTTTGCAGTGCACGAAAATATCAAAAACGGGCTATTCCAGAAGCCCCTGGTTTTGAATTCCATGGCTTGCCGCCGAGTTTGAGACATAGAGTCTCGGTGGACCCTCCGTCTTGACTATTTGCGATATGCGCATTCTAGCCAATCGAATCGGTGAGCGGGGTCCCCGAGAGGCGTAAGTCTCCCCACTTCCGAAGCGTTTTTCTCCCTTCTGATTCACGAAATGTGCCCGCGATTGGGCCGGGAGGTATGGCAGGGAGGCTACTTTTGCGCAACAGTGAAATACCAAAACCCTCAACCTAGACATTGTCTTTAAGGTCAGCCTCAAATCATTTACAAATGAGGCTATACTTCACAATCTACGGCATGTGTAGTATGACAAAAAGTGGTACTAAACTTTATAGCATTCTCTAAAATTGCCCTAATGAATATTGTGG